TCCCCGCTAATCATTAGAGAAAAGCAAACTAAAACCACAAGTAGATATTCTCCCATACCAGTCAGAATGGCTATCATTAAAAAGTTAAAAAACAGCTGGGCTCAGTGGCTCACCCTGTAATCCCGCACCTTTGGGAGGCTGAGGTGAGTGAATTGCCTGAGCCCGCGGGTTCGAGACCCGCCTGGGCAGCAAGACCTCATCTCTACAATAAATAAAAAAATCAGCCGGGTGTGGTAGCGCATGCCTGTAATTCCGGCTACTAGGAAGGCTGAGGCGGAAGGATCGCCGGAGCCCAGCAGGTCGAGGCTGCGGTGGCCGGGAGCGGCCACTGCACTCCAGTCTGGGCGACAGAGTGAGACTCCAACTCAAAAAAAAAAGTTAAAAAACAATAGACATGAGAGGTTGTGGAGAAAAGGGAACAACCCTTCACTGTTGGTGGGAATGGAAGCCAGTTCAGCTCCTAGGAAAAGCGGGTTGGAGAGTTCTCAGTGGACTAAAAATAGGTTTATCATTTCACTCAGCAAGCTCATTACTAGGGATATACCCAAAGGAGCATAAATCACTGTACCCGAAAGACACCTGCACACATATGCTTATCACAGCACTATCCACAATAGCAAATACATGGCCCCGAGCCAGGTGCCCCTCAAAGGTAGATTGGATAAAGAAAATGGGGCACATATACATCATGGAATACTATGCAGCCATAAAAAAGAACAAAACCATGTCCTTTGCAGCAACATGGATGCAGCCAGAGACCATCACTTTTAAAAAATTATCACAGAAATAGAAAACTGAATGCTGCATGTTCTCACTTATAAGTGGGAACTAAACACAAACACATCCAGGTATAAAAGTGAGATCAGCAGATGCTGGGGATTCCTACCAAGCAGGGGAGGTAGGGGGTGAGAGGTGAAAACTACCCACTGGGTGCCATGCCCACCACCTAGGTGACAGGTTCAACAGAAGCTCAAACCTCACCATCGTGCAACATAGCCATGTAACCAACCAGCACATGCACCTTTTGAATCTGAAAGCAAACAAATAAAATTTGTTTAAAGTTGCAAAGCAGAAAGAAAAAGAAAATTATAACCATACTAGGAAACATATTTAAGTATTTTTTTAATGTACCAGGCAGTTGCTAGACTTTTGACTAAAATTAGAAACCTGGCCTCAACGTGGGGTTTATTTAGTCTTGCTAACACTTCCCCCCACAAATAGATATATATGATTTACTCTTCAATCTACACAGATTGCTCATATTGATAACATTTTGTTATTGGCTCATTCATTATTGACATTTTTGCCATATTATTTTCTAATTTTATAGAAGTATTTTACTTTATAAGAAAATATCTGTTTTGTTTGAAAATAAAAATTCTAAAAAGACTGTTGGCATACAAAAGCAAACTTTAGATGACCCAGTTATGAACTATGCCATCTGAGAAAGCAGTTTTTATTAATTAAAAACTGATTGTTTCATATTTGTCCACTAGCTGATAATCTACTCAAATGACAGATTATACTTTCAAGTATTAACTTTGAATGTAAAATGAAGTTAACTACTTTCTTCCAACAAGAATAAATAGCAGCAACAGCAACTATTTAGAATAATCAGTACAACCATTTCTCAAAGTTTACTCTCACTGTCTGGAATATCTCTATAGAAGGCAATAGTGTAAAAGATGGCAATCATATTTCCAAGTAAGGAAAAGCCCATAGGCTTTGTAAAAAAAAAAAAATAAAAAAAAAAAAAAAAAAAAATAGAGAAAGACAAAGTCAGAGCTGGAAAGGGCTAGTGGGTTGCAGCATATTCCCAAGCCATAATGTTCTAATTAAGTAATGGTAATGAAGACAATGATAATAAAAGCACTTCCAAATCTACAGTAAATGTTAACTACATACCAAGCGCTATGCTTTTTATATATTATGATTTTATTTTCTCAGGCACCCTATGGAAAGTAGGCATCATTAGTTTTAATTCCATTTCACAGATGAAGAAACAAAGGTTCATAGTGGTTAAATAAGCCTGTTTCATTACAAAGCTCGTGCTTCTAACAGCTATTTTATGTTATTATTATTACATTTTTAGAGACAGTATCTTGCTATGTTGCCCAGGTTGGCCTCAGACTCCTGGGCTCAAGTGATCCTCAAGTGATTCCCACGTAGCTAGGACTACAGATACGTATCACCACAAAGTTTCTAAAAGTTAATAAAAAAATCAAATTTTCTAAAAGTGATTAGTTGAAAATATACAGATGGGCAGTACAGCTTAGGATAGCATACAGGGACAAAAGAAAATTCAAGCACTTTAGGCCGAGTATACTGGCTCATGCCTATATCCCAGAACTTTGGGAGGCGGAGGCAAGTCCACGGGTTTGAGAACAGCTTGGGCAACTTGGTGAGACCTTGTGTCTACAATAAATCAAAAATTAGCCAGGCATGGTAATACACAACTGTAGGTCTAGCTATTTGGAGGGCTGAGGCAGAAGAATCACCTGAGCTCAGTAGGTCAAGGCTGCGGTAGCCGTGAGTGTGCCACTGCACTCCTGCCTGGGCCACAGAGTGAGACTTCGACTCAAAAAAAAAAAAAAAAGAAAATTCAAGCACTTTGGCACTTCATGTGCCCTGCAAATAGTAATCATAAAATGAAATTAATACATGAAATAGGTAAATAACATAACGTACTAAAATATGAGCCAAATTGAAACAATGAATGACTTCTTCAAAGATTAAAAAATATACATTGCTAAAAATAATAAAGATGAAAGAGATTCAATTAAAAAATGATGGGAAAAATGAGGCAGTTGTGGCTATTGCAAGCCCTGGTATTGTCAGTATTGCTGATGAAGTTGAAAGGATTAAGAGTAATAATATCAAGACCCGCCTGGGCAACTTGGCGAGACCTCATCTCTACAATCAATCAAAAATTAGCCGGGCATGGTAGCGCGTCCCTGTAGTTCCAGCTACTTGGAAGCCTGAGGCGGAAGGATCGAGGGAGCCCAGCAGGCTCCGTTGCACTCCAGTTTGGGCAACAGAGTGAGACTCCAACTCAAAAAAAAAAAAGAGTAATAAAATCATGGATCCTAGAATTTTACTGGGAAGGTACTGGCCAGGATGTCAGAGAAACTCTACAAATTACTATGATGGTGAGAACACTAAAGGAAACTAACATCTGAAAAGCAAACTGAACTGCTCTGGTTATAAATTATTGTACCCAAGTACAAGCCATCATGACTGCAATGAAGAGCACCAGCTTGGGCAAAGAGATAAAAAGTAATAAAGCATTTCAACATCAGTTTGTTTCCTCAATATATACATATATTTTGAGTTGGAGTCTCACTCTATCACCCAGACTGAAGTGCAGCAGCACACTCACGGCCACTGCAGCCATGAACTGTTGGGCTCAGGCAATCATCCACCTCAGCCTTCCAAGTAGCTGGAACCGCAGACGCATGCTACCATGCCTAGCTTATTTTTTGATCTTTTTTGTAGAGATAAGGTCTCACCAAGTTACCCAAGCTGGTCTTGAATCCTGAGCTTAGGCAATCCTCTCGCCTTGGTCTCCCCAAGCGCTGGGATTACAGGCTTGAGCCATCATGCCCAGTCATTTCCCCAATATTTAAAACAAATTTCTAAACCATTTTTGAGGGTTTAGAATGGGCTTTTGTATTTGAACATATCACTTCCTTAAGTGCACAGTGAAGAGGGATATAGAATTGAACTCCTGACCTTGTCACCAGCTATTTTAAGCTAAATTTTTATGTCTACAATCACAAACCTACTGGTTGGACTTAAAAGTGTACACAGCATTAATCACCAGCAATGTTGCCTAACACCCATGTCATACACGCCCTTCTCATTTCCAGGGGGAATAATAAAGCCACTCTTAAAATGAAGTCAAGTTTAAGTCACAGAAATGAAAACAAGCAGCATTAAAACAGGAAAACAGTCTTCTTCTATCACAGTTCAGGGCTTCCAGAGAAGAAAAACAACTGGGAGTTATTACGTGAAACTCTGTATAACATGAGAATGAAAATAAAATACTCATTTACTCTTTTTTCTGGGCTGAACAAACAGCCCTTGCTCTGGTCTCAAGCTTGAGACTTGTTTGAGGTCCTCTGTAATCCACATAATGAATTCATATTTATTGAGCATCTACTATATACACCTCAGTAACCATGTCTGTTTTCCATGTTTGCCTAAAGGAGAGTCAGGCTTTACATACAATGTCTGCCAAGAACTGCCCAACACTATATGGATATTCCATTAATTCAGTATAAAGAAGCCTTTGTCTGCAACATGTGCCATTCAATTCATCTTCACTAAAACTTTTATTTTTGCAATTTGTCTACACACACATTTAAGGAGTGACTAGCTCCCTATTCTGCTATGGCAAGTTACAGAGCTATGGAGCAGAAGAGAATCAACACACTGAGAGAGGCATCTATCTTAACAGAAATCTACCCCTGAAGGTAGAACAAAAGTTGACCACATAATAAAATGGAAAGACCACAAATGTCTCATGGTTTCGCTTGGGACTGGGGTTGGTTTCATGTGCGTATGCTCCACACAACTTCTTAGACTCCATGGTTTGATAACCTGTTGCTAGCTTGAAATTCTTACTGGTTTTTTTCAAAGGGCACCTGCACTTTCTTTTGCACTGAGCTCTGCAAATTATGTGGTCAATCCTACGCAATGATGGTTTTAAATTATGACTTTACTGTGTGATATGTGAAAACTAAATATAACTCTTAGCTTCTTCATCTGTAACAAAGGGATAATATGCAATTTATAAGGTTGGTGGGGATATTACATGAGATGTCATATGTGAAAGCAATAAGTATTGAGCCTGGAGGATCACAAAAGAGAGGGAAAATAAAACAGAGTTGAAACAGTTCTCACTCTTCCTTCTAGAGATCTGAGACATATACAAACTACCATAAATCAGACACCATCATATAATTAGATGTAGTTGAAATTTAAACTTTAGTACTTACAACCCATATATCTGTGGTGCAATTTCTAGTCTGTTCAAGTGCATGTAAAGCTCTATATCATGCTTTTTCAGTAGGTGGTCCTGGATCTGGTTGACCTTAGTGACAATAGCAATCGTTGGACCCAAGTCCTGTGGTCTAGCAAAGGGGATGGGAGTCATCAGTGTTTCTTTCCCCTAAAAAACAGGAAAAATGGAACATGTGTTACTTAAATATGAAAGTAACAAATACTAGGACACCATTCATTAATTTAGTTATCAGAGGGAGTCTAAATAAGGAACAAAAACTATATTATCTCATGACAAATGCTTAAAATGTGGAGTCGTATGCTGGTCGTCATAGAGATGATGCACTTAGACAGCAATGGCCAGAAAACACCTTCTCCAGTAGGGTTCACCTGGATTCCCTCGACCAGGTTCTTTGTGACATTAAGTTTTACAAGGAAGTTTTGGCTAGAGGGAGTGGTGGCCACTATGGTCTACTTGTCTGCAGCCTGTTTACCTGATCAGTCATGGTACATAAATGGAAGATTTGGATGGAAAGGTATTCCATGTGGCATAGAGTGCAAACATGAAGAAACAGTTAAAACAAACTTTTATTTAGAGCTCTCAAAACTATATTTACTTTTTAAAGTAGGAAATAAAGGAAACTAGTACTAGAAAAGAACATGTTTTCTAATTGTTCTTTTGATAATAGCTGAGCAAAAAGATTTCAAAACACTCCAGAGCAAAAGTAAAGCTGACTTAGAGAAATAAAATCTCTGCTGGTCAACTATATCTTCCCTTCCTGCCGCTCTTTGTCCCGTATTAAGGGAGATCCGTCATTATCTCCTTGCATTGCTCTCACGTAAACATCAACTGCCCTCTCAGGTCTAATGGCTTCCCCTAGCAGATTATGCCCGACCTTTCTTTTGAGTTCCAGTCCTCAGCTTCTACCTCTCTCCATTGCTGGCATGTATAGCATCACTCTCGTGATCTTCTGCCTACTCAGTTGACGTCTCTAGCTCAATTTCTTCTTTCTGCTTCCCAAATGCACTGGCTTCATTGTCTACTTACATGCTATCCTCACCTGATCTCAACCACACATAGTGCTTCAACCACTGCCCATTTCCCAAAGATTTCTCAGACGCCATCCACACCCTAGCACTCTCAAGCGCCTCCACAAATCCAAAGGCTGGCAGGAGTCCTGGACTGCCACACACATCTCTAACTTAGCTCATGCTCCTCTGCTCAAAACATGCTCTTCCTTCACCATGCCCACCTCAGGCCAGCACCCACAGAACCCCTGGGCTGCCGGCTTCAGCTCTACAGGACCACCTGGGCCTGGCCCTCTTCCATGCCCTATCATCACAACCCAGTGTGGCCCCTTTCTTTCCTTCTTCCTCGTTGCCTCTGACTTAGTCTTGCTTTCCAAGCTTCTTTCAAGTGCAAGGTGATGCACCTGAGACAGAGATGTGACGAGACCCAGCAGACCCCCTTCTCCAGCCTCTTTATCACCTTTACCTCCCACAACAGAGAGAGCATTTCAGCTTCTCTAAGACCTTGAGGGCCCACTGGCCTTGGCCCTCTCATGTCTCCGAGGGCCCCAGGAGACCAGGCTCTCACCCGGTGTTCTCTCCACAGCTTTTCCACGCCTATCTAGAGATGGGGACCAAGTTCCAGGTCCTGTTTCTTTACTTTCCTCTCTGTTACCACAGTATCTTTTACGACTTGTCACTCCCTAAACTGTGAGTTTCCAAAAGGAAAAAGAAAGTGAAGCTCTTCAACAGGAGACCACACAGAAAGAAAGAAAAGAAGAAGTTCCACATAAGCCCAGCTACTAATCAGCTGGCTGAGAGATCAGAGGAGAGAAGGTAAAGGAAAATGTCCTGGAAGTTGGCATGTGGGTAAATGGGAGAACTTCTTGGAAGATCCATCTTTCAAAGTAATTTCAAGTCTTAGGAAGAAATGCACCCTGTCATGCACAGTATGTGCCCTAGTGCCTTAACATTAAAAAAAAAAAAAAAGCAAGACCACAAAAACCCTAATTTCAGCAGAAGAATCCAGATCACCAAAATAAAAGCCCAAATCCAAGACATAGAAGACAAAAAGATAATACAAAAAAATCAATGAAACAAAAAGCTGGTTCTTCGAAAGGATAAACAAGATCGATGGTCCCCTAGGTAGACTGACCAAGAAAAAACAAGAAAAAAACCAAATAAGCACAATCAGAAACACAAAAGATGAAGTCACATCTGACCCTGAAGAAATACAAAAGATCATTAGAGACTACTACGCACACTTGTATGGAAACAAACTTGAAAACCTTAAGGAAATGGAGGACTTTCTGACATCACACAACCTACCTAATTTGGAACCAGAAGAAATTGAGACCCTAAATAGACCAATAACAATCAAGGAAATCAACTACGTAATAAGAAAACTACCTACCAGAAAAAGCCCTGGTCCAGATGGCTTTCCAGCAGAATTCTACAAGATATTTAAGGAGGAGCTGATACCAATCCTACTGAAGGTAGTCCAGGTGATTGAAAAAGATGGAACTCTCCCCAAATCATTTTATGAAGCCAATATCACATTGACACCCAAGCCGGGTAAAGATCCAACAAAGAAAGAGAACTACAGGCCAATATCTTTGATGAACATAGATGCTAAAATTCTCAACAAGATCCTAGCAAACCAGATTCAGCAAAACATCTCAAAAATCATCCACCATGACCAAGTAGGCTTCCTTCCTGGGATGCAAGACTGGTTCAACATTCATAAAACCATAAATGTAATTAAACACATCAACAGATGTCAAAACAAAAACCACATGATTATATCATTAGATGCAGAAAAAGCTTTTGATAAAATCCAGCACCCCTTCTTGATAAAAACCCTTGAACATCTAGGCATACGGGGAACACACCTCAAAATAGTAAAAGCCATCAACGAGAAACCCACAGCCAGCATACTCCTAAATGGACAAAAATTGGAACCAATTCCCCTGAAAACTGGAACTAGACAAGGATGCTCACTCTCACCCCTCCTGTTCAACACAGTATTGGATGTCCTGGCTAGAGCAATCAGAGAAGAGGAAGCAATCAGAGGTATTCAAATAGGAAAAGAGGAAGTCAAGTTACCTCTCTTTGCAGATGATATGATTGTGTACCTTGAAAACCCAAGAGAATCTGTCAAAAGCCTCCTTACATTGATAAAGGCCTTCGGCAAAGTCTCAGGATACAAAATAAATGTACAAAAGACAATCGCATTTCTCTACACCAATAATAAACAAACAGAAACCCAAATAAAAAACACAATTCCATTCACAATAGACACAAAAAAAATGAAATACCTTGGCATCTTCCTAACCAGAGATGTGAAAGACCTTTACAATGAAAATTACAAAACACTGCTCAAAGAAATTAAAGATGACACGAACAAGTGGAAAAATATCCCATGCTCATGGATTGGAAGAATCAACATTGTGAAGATGTCCATCTTACCTAAGGCAATCTACAAATTCAATGCAATACCCATTAAATTACCAATAACATTCTTCTCAGACCTAGAAAAAACAACACAGGAATTCATATGGAAACACAAACATCCAAGAATAGCCAAAACAATCCTCAGCAAAAAAAACAAAGCTGGTGGTATCACAATACCAGACTTCAAACTTTACTATAAAGCTACAATCATCAAAACAGCTTGGTATTGGTACAGGAACAGGCATATAGATCTATGGAATAGAATTGAGATTCCAGAAGCAAAACCTCAATTTCTCAACCAACTCATCTTCGACAAAGCCCCCACCATCTACCACTGGGGAGAGGAGAACCTATTCAGTAAATGGTGCTGGGAAAACTGGCTGACCACATGCAGAAGATTGAAACGGGACCCCTATCTATCCCCATGCACAAAGTTTAACTCCAAATGGATCAGAGACCTAAATGTAAAACCTCAAACCATAAGAACCTTAGAAAAGGAAATACCCTCATGGAAATCGGAACTGGCATCCAATTCCTGTACAAAACCCGAAACCCCCAGGTCATAAGAGAGAAGATAGACAAGTGGGACCTCATTAAACTGATAAGCTTCTGCAAAGCCAAAGAAACCATCAAGAGAGCAGGGAGACAGCCTACAGACTGGGAAAAAGTATTTGCCAACTCCAGGTCTGACAAAGGCTTAACATCCTGGATCTACAAGGAACTCAAATGTGCTCAAAAGAAAAAAACAAACAACCCCATTATAAAATGGGCAAAAGATATGAACAGACACTTCACAAAGGAAGACATCCGAGCAGCCAACAAACACATGAAGAAATGTTCAACCTCACTAATCATTAGGGAGATGCAAATCAAAACCACACTGAGATACCACCTAACCCCAGTCAGAATGGCAATCATCAGCAACTCAAAAAATAACAGCTGCTGGAGAGGGTGTGGTGAAAAGGGAACACTTCTACACTGTTGGTGGGAGTGTAAACTAGTGCAACCTCTGTGGAAAGCAGTGTGGTGATTCTTAAAACCTCTAAATACCAACCTCCCATATGACCCCGCAATCCCCCTACTGGGAATATATCCTGAAGAACTCAAATCACTCTATAAAAAAGATAACTGCACACGCATGTTTATCACAGCATTGTTCACAATAGCAAGAACCTGGAAACAGCCATGCTGCCCGTCAAAAGAGGACTGGATTAAAAAAATGTGGTACATATACACGATGGAATACTACGCAGTCATAAAAAAGAACAAAATCATGAATTTCGCAGCAACCTGGATGGAACTATAGTCTATAATACTGAGTGACCTCTCACAGAAACAAAGATCCGAGTATCACATGTTCTCACTCATATAATGGACCTTGAACATCCAATGTAATACTATGAGAAAATGACTGACGGTACTGGGAAACTATGGGGGGGAAGGGGGATGGAATTAACAGTAGCAAATATCTGCCTGGAGATGGGAAAACACCTCTTATCAACAGGGTGCCTGAATGAAACGTAATTGTACACCTAACCCTTAACTGTACCCCACAAAACCATAATAAAAAATATTGATTAAAAAAAAAAGTTTTTGCTATAGGTCAAAAATAAAATTACGAAGTGATAAGAAAAAAAAAAAATGAGACCATGCTAATTTCTATGGTTCAATTAGTTCATATTCATTTATATAGGCAAATAAAACCTCTATATTATGGTAATTTATTATAAAAATAAATCCAACACATTTTTTCTGATTTTGTAATATCTTGCATTCTCTTCAAATGATAGAATAATTTAAAACAATCAACTCTTTAAAAAAAATTTGTACAAATTAATTTCAAATAATTTAGAATTCATGCTAATCCTAAGATATGGGTTTTTTTTATGGGTATTTGATTCCAAATACCCATTAAAAAATAACCACCATTTTATGCATTTTGATCATGTAGTTTTTCTTCAGTGAAAAACTCTGTGTGGCTAATTAAATATGAGGGAAGACCCCCAAAACATGAATTATCTTTGGGAGGGTGAGCCCCTTGTGGCACACTTGGAATTTGTTCCTCTGACTCAAACAGTCAACCAAAGTTTTATCTGGAAGTTTTGAGAAGGTTCTGCCACAACTGGCAGAAGAAACATCCTGAGTTTTGGCAGAGAAGTGACTGGTTCTTCTTCCACAACAGCGCACCTGCCCAAACCACACTGAGTGCTCAGCAGTTTTGTTTTTTTTAACCAAAAGTGGCATGACCCCTGTGCCCTACCCTCCCTATTCGTCCAATCTCACCTGAGCAACTTTTTCTTGTTTGTTTCTCTGATTTAAAAAGTCCTCAAAGGGAAACAATTTGCTCATGTGGAGGAGGAAAAACAAAAAATGGCAGAAGCATCAAAAGGATTAAAACTGACTGTTCAAAAACGGGAGCCGTGGGGAAAGCCTCTTGAAGGGTGTATTAAAATGGAGATTGCTCCGATGGGAACTGAAGTTTAACCATGCAAGATTAAACACACAATTTTTAATAAATAGATTCTGAGTTTGGGGGGGGTCCCCTTTGTATTAATCAATGAGGGGGCAGAAGCAGAAGGTCTGTAACAATCACATGAAAAAACCAATCACTGCACCTCCTCATCTTCTAAGAGGCTTGGGTAAATACACTTCTACAGAATATAAGCATGAGAGAGAAAATGGATCCTAAACTGACCTATCCAAAAAATATTTAACAAAATCATATGATAAACCTCCACTTTGATGAGCTGTCATTAAATCAATGGCATATGTGGTCCACATGATAAAATTAATGTGCAATATTCACTTATCTTTAGGATTTCTTATCATAACAAATAATGCTATTTGCATCTAACATATATGATCAAATGGGACCACTACAACTATCTATTACCCCCCAAAATCCTTCTAACCATTTATTAAAGTAGGACTTAAAATGTGGTCTACAGATCAGAGTCTGTGCACCAAACGGTCAGGAATGCAGCAAGACCATGACTTTGTGCCATAACACAAACCAACCTGCTGCTTTCCTGCATCCAGAAAGTCTTACTATAAAAAACACGTCTGCTGAACTAGGCAGTACGCACTGTGGTGCAGCTGAATTTTCAAAGGAACTAGAATAACTCAGAGTTGGAGTTGTATATTAGTTTCCAGGACTTATTTTAAAAAGGTAACAGAATCATGAAACAATAAAAAGGGGCAGATGAAAAGGAACTCCTAAGACATGCTTTTAAGGAATATACTATTCACTGATATATGCAAGCATCATGAACAATGAAAAGGAACATCAACTGTGTTTCTTGATAATATTAACGCCTTTCTTTGTATTTTCTCAGTCACTTTCATGAACTTGACTCAATAATATCAACAAGAACTAAAGGGTAAAACTAAGAAATAGTAACCCTCACATTTCAGTCCTTCAGTTTTTTAGATACAGAACTCACTTAAAAATGCAAAATGATCACTGTATGGAATGATCATGATACATGAAATGACCAGTATTCAAATGGATTCAAATACCCTCTGCTCAAATGGTGTTCATAAAAGTCTATGTCTTCAACAAATCACTTGCCAAGCACATAGACTTGTTCCAAAAATAGACAGTAGGTTGTCAAATATGCTTGACAACTGGTTTCATCTTTAGCAGCCCTCATGGGATGTAATATGTCAGTACATGAGGAAACACTTGATCACCTAGTGCAGGAGTTGAGACTTCAGGCTTTAAGGCCATCTGGTCGGTGCTGCAACTACTCACCCCACTACTGAAATGACCAAACAGTCACAGACAACAGGTAAACACATAGGAACAGAGTGCTCAATAAAACTTAATTGATGGGCACAGACATTTGAATTTCCTATTATTTTGACATGTTACACTACTATTATTCTTAGGAGGGTTTTCTAACCACTTAAACATGGAAAAGCCATTCTGGACTCATAAGATGTACACAAACATATGGTAGGCCAAGTCTGGCCTGCAGGGAGTAGGTGGTCAAGCCCTGGCCTAGGCTAAAGACATGGGAAATATGAGTTGTCCAATTCATTTTTTAAGAAATGGAAGGAAGTGACTGAGTAATAATGGTTTCTAATCAGAATGCAATAAATTATGCCATTACAAAGGAAACTAACCACATTGGAAACAATATACCAGATATTCTTAACAATATCCACTGCCACAAGAATGTGCAATTTTTCCAATTTTGTGTAATACAATGAGATGACCATGATTTCTAGGATAGCATGTATGTTAGCTTAAAATGACAGTTAATTCATCAATTACCACTCCTAGTGATATACCAAGAGACCTGAAAAAACATATGTTCATGCAAAAGTCTGTACATAAATGTCCACAACATTATTCACAACAGCCCAAAGTGAAAGGAATCAAAGTGCCCATATCAAGTGATGTATGAATAAACAAAATGTGGTGTATCTATATAACGGAATATTATTCAGCCACAGAATGAAATACTGATACATGCTACAGCATGTGAATGAGCAGTGAAAGAAATCCGTCACAAAAGGCTCTATAGCATGTGATTCTGAGTAGATGAGATATCCAGAATGGGCAAGTCCAGAGAGACAGAAGGAGATCAATGTTGCCAGTTGATAGAAGGGAATAGGGAGTGACTGTTATAGATATAAAGTTTCCTTTCAGGGTGATACAAATGTTTTGGAATTAGGTAGTGGGGATGTCGACCACCTCAGTAAGCATACTAAAACCCACTAAAATGTATATTTTGAATAGGTAATGTTATAGTATGTGGATTATATAAAACAAAGAAATAGGCTTAAAATAGGAAATAAGAGAAAATGAGGGCAAAGGACACTGATGCTAAATGTGTGAATTCAACAGTGATGCTTGAGTAAGAGTAAAATAAACCATTTGATACAGATTTTAGCAATGCACTTCAGTAACAAGGTTATACCAACTCACTTGGATGGCAATGGAAAGTTTATAATACTTTTTTTAACTAAGCAGTTATACCAAAAAGTTTCTATTTATTTATATGAAATCTGCCTTTGTATATCTGCCAATATTACTAGAAATATACTTAAGTCCCCAGGTTCAATCTTATTTCAGGGGTATTTTCATATCCTCATTTTTGTTACAGCAATAGTAATGGCTATATTATTATTCTCTGATTATATGCTGTTATTTACTGAAGTCATTCAGTTCCCTCCATGCACTGATAAGATATGTACAGTAAGATTTACCTTGTGACCATCATGCTCAAAAGTTGAAAACCAAGGTCCAGCAGTTTCCATAAGTTGTGAGAACATCACACTAAAAATTAGAAAAATAATATGCTATGTTCAACTTTTATTAAAGTAATGATGGCATAAAAAATAAAAATAGTAACACTTTTGTACTTACTAGGCATCATGTTCCAGATACTCAGGATTCAGGAGAGTTTTCATTTCCTCACTTAAAAAAGCAACACAAGCAATAAAAATGTGTAATTTTTCAAGAAAGTGGTTATAGAATTTGTCTTATTCTACATTCATAAGTTTCATATAATGTACAAATGGAAAAAATTAGCCCTTTTAATGAAAAGAGCAATTCCATTCGCAGATGATACCCTTTCTTTCTTTAAACAGCAAAAGCAAATTAGCTGCCTTATCTTATCTGTGCCACAGTGAAGTAACTATCTAATTATTCCAAATAACAAATCTAGAATGTGACAATATATTCCTTCACTATGCTAGATCTAGAATAATCGATTACTCTACCATCTATCACTTGTCCAAAACAAAACAATTAGATAAACAGAGGTCAAATATACAACATCAAAAATTCAATGATTATTTTATTTAAATGGCTTTTATTTCTATTTTATTCTTAGCATCAACTAATCAGCAACAGCACCTCTTACAAATCTACTTTAGTGCTGCTTTTGCTTTTTAAAAAGCATGAAGAAACAAATCCGACTCATCTCAAAACAATTTTCAGTCATCTGTACTTTCGTGTAAATTGTACTCTGTGCGCGCGTGCTTTTTTCCCGAGCCCCCGTCTGAAGCAAACACGCACATGTTTCAGGGAAACTGGCAAGAAAACAGAGTCCTCCTACTATCCTTCACCCTCATGTTTCCAAATAACTGAAGCACACACAATTAAGATATGGTCACTCTTGTCAAGATCCAATAAACCAAGGGGAATTTAAAAAGCTCAGAGGAGCCGGGCTCGGTGGCTCAGCCTGTAATCCCGCGCCTTTGGGAGGCTGAGGTGAGGGGATTGCCTGAGCCCGCGGGTTCGAGACCCGCCAGGGCAGCGAGACCTCATCTCCACAATAAATCAAAAAATCAGCTGGGCATGGTAGCGCATGCCTGTAATTCTGGCTACTTGGAAGGCTGAGGTGGAAGGATCGCCGGAGCCCAGCA